CTAAAGCGTGCGCACAAGTTAATAAAGTCTGGCCTCATTTTATTTAAATTGAGGGATTCCTGTCCGTGACTCACAGTATCTGCTGCCCACAGCTGTTTTATAGAAGGAAAACCTCCTTCACTTTATGAAATCTCAGCGGCAGCAGTGGCCTGTACTACGAAGCAGGATTGGCTATTTACACTATTCATTCATGAGTATGACGCTGCGCTGTCAGCACGCGTCTCCATGTTTGTGATTGGTCAAATGTTGCTAACCCCGTCCCTTTCACCTGAGCGCGCTCTCAGCCGGACAGAGAAACCCTGGTTGATTTACTGAGTTGATAACCAGCTTCGTAGGACCGCTTATCGACATCGCGTTTGTTAGGGTCAGTTAAGCCGGGTAAATCGAACATATTCAGGTCCAGGGTCTGTTGAACTGGCTTCGTCGTACAGGGCACTGGAGGCAGTAACGTGTAACTCAGCAGAATCTGAGAAGAGCAGCACCAGCTGCAAAGAGCTGTGCCTTTTACTGTTTACTTCACTGCGTTTCCCTTCATTAGAACCGCTGAATAGAGATCGAGGCTGCTACGTTTAACCACACACACCTATACACACATCGAACTACCAGAGTATTCCCCCTCGCTTTATGAAGGAGATGTCATGTCACCGGGGCGCATGATGTGTGTGTGTGTGTGTGTGTGTGTGTGTGTGTGTGTGTGTGTGTGTGTGTGTGTGTGTGTGTGTGTGTGTGTGTGTGTGTGTGTGTGTGTGTGTGTGTGTGTGTGTGTGATGTCCTGTCACCGGGGCGCATGATGTGTGTGTGTGTGCTCAGCTCCGCTCTGTGTGCGTGTTCGTGTGTATCCGACACCACCGGCATTTGTTTTCAAATTACCACGAACAGTACTTTAAACAAATCTGGTTCCCCATAGTTAAGTGTATTCCCAAGTGAAAGAAATGTGTTTAATCTTAATCTCGATGTGCACCGGAACGAACGATACTATCATAAACAAATGCCCCCCCCCCCCCATACACACACACACACACACTCACACACACACACACACACAAAACGAGGCCATGCTTTATTAACTCGTGCGCACGCTTTAGTAACTCGTGCGCACGCTTTATTAACTAGTGCGCACGCTTTAGTAACTCGTGCGCACGCTTTAGTAACTCGTGCGCACGAGTTACTAAAGCGTGCGCACGAGAAAGTAAAACGTGGCCACGTTTTATTTATTTTTCTCTCTATGAACCCTCCAGGGCTCCGTACGAACACGCACACAGAGCGGAGCTGAGCACACACACACACACACACACACACACACACACACACACACACACACACACACACACACACACACACACACACACACACACACACACACACACATCATGCGCCCCGGTGACATGACATCTCCTTCATAAAGCGAGGGGGAATACTCTGGTAGTTCGATGTGTGTATAGGTGTGTGTGGTTAAACGTAGCAGCCTCGATCTCTATTCAGCGGTTCTAATGAAGGGAAACGCAGTGAAGTAAACAGTAAAAGGCACAGCTCTTTGCAGCTGGTGCTGCTCTTCTCAGATTCTGCTGAGTTACACGTTACTGCCTCCAGTGCCCTGTACGACGAAGCCAGTTCAACAGACCCTGGACCTGAATATGTTCGATTTACCCGGCTTAACTGACCCTAACAAACGCGATGTCGATAAGCGGTCCTACGAAGCTGGTTATCAACTCAGTAAATCAACCAGGGTTTCTCTGTCCGGCTGAGAGCGCGCTCAGGTGAAAGGGACGGGGTTAGCAACATTTGACCAATCACAAACATGGAGACGCGTGCTGACAGCGCAGCGTCATACTCATGAATGAATAGTGTAAATAGCCAATCCTGCTTCGTAGTACAGGCCACTGCTGCCGCTGAGATTTCATAAAGTGAAGGAGGTTTTCCTTCTATAAAACAGCTGTGGGCAGCAGATACTGTGAGTCACGGACAGGAATCCCTCAATTTAAATAAAATGAGGCCAGACTTTATTAACTTGTGCGCACGCTTTAGTAACTCGTGCGCACGCTTTAGTAACTCGTGCGCACGAGTTACTAAAGCGTGCGCACGAGAAAGTAAAACGTGGCCACGTTTTATTTAGTTTTCTCTCTATGAACCCTCCAGGGCTCCGTACTCCAGGGCTCCGTAGTAGTGAGATATTACGTTTAGTTTTTTCGAAAAACGTGATTGGGTGATTATAGCGCCATGCGCGCAAACCTGGCAACCCACTAGAAGGCAGGAGTGTCAGTTAACATGGCAGCGGCTAGCTTTACTCCAAAAATAGTGAAGTTTGGATTCAATGATTATGTTGTCGATGACGGTAATAAGAAGAGAACAGCGGTATGCAGGGTCTGCAGCATAAAGATCAGTGACACGACCACCACAACATCCAACTTCATTCGTCACTACAAAAAAAAACACAGAGAAAGGTAGGCTACATGCATGTGTTGTGTTAGCTAGAAAGCTAACGTTAAGTTTAAGCTACGTTAGACTTGGTTTCAAATCGATTAAGCATTGCAAAGAGAAGACAAAACGGTAAATTAACACTAGAACCGCCAAGGGATTCATTTGGACTAACCCTGATACTGACGGGCTGTCAGGAGAGGGAGAGAGAGAGAGAGAGGAAAAGAGATGCCTCGTTTATTTCCCCTGTGTTATTATCAGAAGTTACTGTAAACTTTTGAATAATGTAGTTCATCTACTTTTAGTAGTTTTTTTTAAATGTTTTAATTATGTTGTTTTTGTTTGTAGAAGTGCATCATTCCTTGATTTATTGTAAAATGAATCTGAACTTTTTGATCTGTTATGATGATAAACTGAAGCAATTTCTAAATTAAGTGAGTTTTAAATCGTCCTACTTAGTTTATAAGGAAATTATGAAGGGGAACAAATTAAATGATTTGAAAATGATATCTATGTAGGTGCTGACGCTGTTGGCGGTTCTAGTGTTAACATACATTTAAATTAAATATGTAATGGCAAATGCCATATATGATTTTTTTACCTGAAATTCTGCCTTTTTGAACAGACTTTTTGATTGAGTCCTAGCTATATTGTCTGCAGTTCTGGGGTTAATATTAATGTAATGTGATTGTCATCGGTCTAAATTAGATTTCAAATGATTAACTGTGTATGTAATGAAGATCATAGTGTGGGTTGAATCCATTTTCATAACCACTGTCTTTTAACTGATGTGGAAATGCGGAAACTGGGCTTATTCATCAGAATTTCGTATGACTTGACTTGACTTGCTTGACCTGAGCAATGACTTGACTTGACTTGCTTGACTCTCCCCACAGTGACTTGGGACTTGCGACTTGATTGATACTTGTAGGTCAAGACTTGAGACTTGCTCATGACTTGCACATGTAGGACTTACTCCCACTGCTTTGCCGTGCCATGTATTGATTCACTGAGCCATTAGAGCAACTGCTTGGGTGTCCAAACCAACATGTGAACATACAAAGAGACAGAAAAACAATATCATGTCAATCCAACTTCCACATGAGGTAGAGGAAGATGGATACAGTTGCTTGAATAGAGAGGATGCGGTCGGATGTATTTATCAGTCTGTGTGGCTCCATAGAGCAGCGAAAGGGATTCTGCTGTGCAGATCAGCTTCTCGTAACTCCTCTGTCTCTGACCTCAGGCTTGTTCATGCCATAACTCTCCTCATTACAGCCTTAATGGGCCAATCAACAGCGTTACGGGCCGAAGGCACACTCCTCTCCTCTTCACAGTCTTGCAGTGCTGTAGCGCTCGCTCCCCTCCTTCTCTGTAATAGTCTGTCTTTGTTACCCATCCACCCTACGTATCTGATACTCTCTGCATCCACATTCCCCATTGTATGTGTATATGAGGTATTCATCCTAATGTGTATGCTGATAGTGATGAGTTTTTGTATGTCAATGACAGGCCTTTGTTTATAGGAAATGTTTGTTTTGTGTTCATTAAGTTTATGCCTGCTCTTGATTCCTTTTGTATGTATTGCAGTATGTGTGCATAAATAGTGTCTTTGACAATATGTGAGTTTGTTGTACAGATGTACTAGAGTGCTCACTTTTCTAATTATAATGCTCACCAATGTATGTTTTTCATAATTTTAGATCTGTCATTTTAGAAATAACCTACTTGGTGGGCCTATACATTTTAAAACCCTGGAACTTGTAACAAAATGCATTGTCATTAAGCTCAACAGAAAGCTGTTTTCTTAAATAATTGTGTTTTTAGACTACAGGCAGGCTATGCATAGTTACAAATAATAAACCATAACATGTTCACACTGCATATCCTAAGATCAGTTATGTTAGACATTGTGGCCAATATCAATCCAATCCATTAATAAAACTAATTCTTCTAAATTGGCGTCCATGTGTATGGTGTCATTACACATCCACTCACTCATAGCAGGACATTTAAAATGCTCTTTGCTTTCGCACTGCAGCCACCGATCATTAAAACAGATTTGTGTCACATAAGGACAAAACACAGATTTCACTTGCAGAGTGAAGTTTGCAGTCTCTTCTTTTGGTTTCAAAATGCAGATTAGCAAGATCAGCGACTCCTAACAATGTGGTGTGATTGTTTTTGTGTAAGAGCGTAGGTGTTTGTGTGTCTCAGTTTATTTTGGGACAAATAGACAGTGTGAAATGTGTGTGTGTGTGTGTGTGTGTGTGTGTGTGTGTGTGTGTGTGTGTGTGTGTGTGTGTGTGTGTGTGTGTGTGTGTGTGTGTGTGTGTGTGTGTGTGTGTGTGTGTGTGTGTGTGTGTGTGTGTGTGTGTGTGTGTGTGTGTGTGTGTGTGTGTGTGTGTTGTAAGCACATGTGTGTACTTACAATGTATTATTAAAACGTTCAGCTCAACAGCCAACCTTTACCTTCGCAAATGTTGGTGCTTAGTTTAACAACTTTTTGTGTAGATGCTGCCTTATAATCAAAAATAACCATCAGACAAATCATGTTTTTCTCTTGTCTCTTTTGTTTCCGCTAGGATCCCTGCAGGGAGTGCACCAGAGGAAGCTGTACAAGGAGCTGCTGGCTAACTACAACCGGCTGGAGAGACCGGTGGTCAATGACTCCGCCCCCATCCTGGTGGAGCTGGGCCTCACACTGCTGCAGATCATAGACGTGGTGAGGGAGACAGCTTTTACTTCTCTTCTATATGTGATGTGTGTTTGTTAGTGGCAGGGTGTTTAGTTTCGGTAGTGTAGAATGTTGGAAACGTGACAATATACAACGTTTGTGTTTTGTTGAGCATACAGTTTGTTGCTTAATTGAAAGCTGAAGTGAAATTGTACCACTACGCTGGTGACCTATTTACATCGGAGGTATTTAGAGTGTCTTTACATATCAGAAACTGTAAAAATACCTAAAAACCGCTCAGTCATCTCATTGTCGACATTGGAATCTTAGTAAAATAATATTCCTGTCTATAAATAATAATGCATGATGAAGAACTGCCAAGTAAAGAGCCCCACTAAAAAGGAGATAACATGCTTGAAAAAAAAGAATCACTAATTGAGTTGTATAAGTGCTAATAGAGAAGTAAGAAAAACAGGTGTTTGAAGCTTAAGGAATGAATGAACAGTGATACATCCAAAGGTAGATTAGGTTTATAGAATAGTGATAAATGTTTGCCGAAGTAATGCACTCCTGAACCTCTAAAGTTGGCTGAGCCTAGCTGATTTTTTGGCTGCTCCTCCAAAGCAGATTGTAGTCAGGTTGCATCCAGACCACTGGTATCCCTTCATGAAAAGGCGCATCGCTAACGCTAGCGCCCATCAATCCAGCATTAGTACCACCAAATGATGCTCCAGCAGAATAAAGGCAGGTTTCTAGGGTCAACATTTTTGACTTGGCTCAACTTTTGAGCCAGCTGCCAGTTAGGCTGCAAAAGCACGGTGTGGTATATCACATGCCTGCAAGCAAACAATCCTGGTAGATAACTTTGTAGCATGAATTACATATTTGTGCTGTTTACCTCATCTATTATGTGTTCAAAGGCTTGCTGCTGTGATTACCTTTCCAGAGTTGTAAAATCCTGATTGTGAGGTTGTATTGTTTTGCCATACGATGAGCCTTAATCACAGGAATATGTTACTGAAAAACAGTTCCTAGATGTCTCAACAGTGCCCTGACATAATTCAACGCAGTCCATACCATTATTTTATTGCAGTGCTGTTTTCTGTCTGAAATGTTTGCTCTTTAAGATTAGTTGCTGATAGAAGCATTAACTTTGCTTACTGTAATAAGAGGTGTCAAACTAGGGGCCACTGTACTGACACAGTTTTGTGTTTGGGCACATTCCCAGTTATCACAATATACTATTCCTTTCTCTCTGCAGCCCATGACCCAGAAATCGTTCCTGATCCACAATCTTTGATGAATTTTCAAACCTTAAAGATGTGGTTCAGCGTAGCAGTAGGACTCATTAACCACCAGAGAGGATCAAAAACCTGCAAGACACTTCACTAGCTGCATGTACATTTTGACATCTGCCCGTCCGTGAAGTAACTTTAGGGAAAGTGTTAGCATGGTCTCTGAGTATCATACCAGCCAGATGTTTGCTGTCAGAACAGATGGATCTACAATATCATTGGGAGAGTTTTTCTCCCACGGGGTCTCCTCATTTTCACAGAGGGGTAATTTAGGAATGTTTAACAGAGACGAGATGTCAAGTGAAAAATATAATTTAATAACTTAGGAGGAGGATGGTGCAAACGCTATCTGCATGTCCCATGACTGGTTGGGAAAATAAGTTAGGGGGTGAAATTACAGTTATTATTGTCACTCACACTTTGAGGAGGGCGCTTACCAACAGTACGCAAATACTTATATTGGGAACACTGGGACAGAACAAGAAACCTCATGCAACCTTGCCAGAGTGACTGAATTTGAGTTAAAAAGAGATAACACCTTTCAACCCACATCCAACAATAAACCTACATTTTTCCCCTAGCCCCCAGACAATTTAATAACTAGGTAACTTGTTGCTCGGAGATAAGATGTTGTGATTTTTAAACAACAAAATAGAAAGATTTGTATCTACCTGAAAATAATTTGCAACAGTGGGATTGCTTCAATAATGTAGTGGTAACTGATGTTTTGAGACCCAGAGGTCTGCTAGTACACTATAACCTTAATGTTCAGTTGTCATGGGAACACCGACGTTCAACTCATTTATTCATCAGCTTTAAAGTAAACAGTGTTGACGGACTGTGAGACAGCGACCCTTTAGCGGCTGGATTTCCAGGGAAAGAATCAACCACGAGATGAGGTAGAGTTGCAAACCATGGTGTCTTTTATTTATCAAACAGCACAAGAGAACAGACAGCCAGCATGTAGGTGTTCACCACTCTCTGTACGTGTTCACCACTCTCTGTACGTGTTCACTGCCCTCTCTCCGACTGAAGACTGGCGAATTTATAGAGGATCTTCCAAGGATGTAATTGGGAGAAACCATTCACAGGTGATAAATACACATATCATCACAATTGCCATAAAGAACATCCACAATATTATGTTCATAGCATCATTAGTTGTCCATAGCCATCTGCTAAGTTAACCCCAAAACAAACTTTACAACTGACCAGAATACATATAAATGCACTCCCATCTAAGACAGAAACCCCTGTGCCTATCTCGCCACTTGGTTCGATCTTTATTGAGGTACATTATTCTTTTCATTTTGGATTTTTCTGAAGGCATTTTTTTGGCCGGGGAGGGCCTTTTATCAGTTATAGTATTAAAGTTGAAAAGCGGGCAATGATTAAAAGTTCATCCATACCAGGATTTGAACCAGTTACGCGGAGGATGTCGCCGCATTCGGGCCGCCGGCTCTATCCACTGGGCTATCTATTCTTTAAACTGTTGAACTTTTTTTTTAATACTCATAATTGTCTTTTTCTTCACAACTTCTCCACATTTTGAAGTGTTTACCGAGCCAGAACGACCTAACTTTCTTCCTGGCTTGCTCTATAATGATCCAATACAAATGCAATACCAACAACAACCCACACATTGCGCATTGTTTAGAGCGGTTATAAAGTGTTGGAGCGCTCAAATTCGAAACTGTTTCAACCTGTCACCTGTCAGAATCGAGACGAGGCAGTGCATTGAATCACCTGATTGGACGGCGAACCAGTGAGTTGATTCATTCAGGAAATGAAGCAGTTGCTGCTTCGGACATCATATGTCACGTGATTTGAAGCAAGCTTCGAAGCACTGCTTCTATGGAATAGGAAAACCAGGGTTTGAAGCATGTATCGAAGCTTCAGTGTCAAACTGCCATCACTAGAGACAGTATGGGTAAGTGATAGATGTAAACTTTACATAGTGTTCACTTATACAATAATGCAACTTTAACGTCGTCATGATATATACACGCTCAAACATATTATTGCACACAATGATTAATCTCAACCACTGTCATTCTTACACAAGCATAAACACTTTCGGCGCTCTCGCTAACTCCTCTCTCTTCAGGTGGAGCCGAGTACCCGACCAGCATCTTGCCAGACGACATTCCAATTAATACGGTTGAATCATTTAATAAATACTACATCAATAAATAGTATAAATTATGTAAACATTTGCAAATATGCAATGCCAAACTGTACTGTGCAAATCACGCTAATAAAGTGCAAACTGTTAACTACTAAAGTGCTGAGTGACATTATTACTGTGCAAAGGGAAGTTGTTATATAAGTGCAAAACCCACATGTGCAATATTACAAGGCCCCAAAGCCGTCAGTCACGAAGTTACCTTCGTTACACGGACTATGCCGAAGACAAATCGTTAAAGGTCCCATGTCATGGCCATTTCTACTGATCATAATTCCATTGTTGAGGTCTACTAGAATAGATTTATATTGTGCAATTTTCCAAACTCACATTGGTTTCTCAAACAGCATCTCTGTATAGAGAGGCGAAGTCCCGCCCTTCTACTTCCGCCCCATGGGACCTTATTTCGGAAAAATTATGTATTGAAGTCAATGGGGAGAGAAAACGTATCTTTCGATCCCGTTTGAATTGTGCCATGAATTACACATATTATGTTTGTCAATCTTAAAAAATAATTTCCATGTCAAAAAAGTCAGAGTTTGTCGTAAAACTGTTAAAATATAAGACTACAAATCCCAGAGTAAGCGATGTCATAATTGTTTTCCTCCACTAAATATAAGAGATAGCTAAGATAACTTTTACTAGATGCCTGTGTGCTTTGTACCAGGCTGTAATCATACCATTAATGGGTCTTGCTCGTTCTTTAGCTTCCCGTCTGATGAAAGGATCAGGAGTGGCTGGATCAAGTTAGCTACCTAGCTAGTAGCTAGCACGTTAGTTAGCATTACAGCGTTAGTTAGCATTTTTATTAGACTTAACATGAAGTAACATTAAGTTAACCAAAGTGTTAAACAGTAGAGTAGTAGTCATATTTCGTGAACCCTTTGAAGAGTAGGCTACTGTCACACCGGTGTGATCATTACATGCCAACCTTTCCAAATCCAAAAGAGGTAGGTTTGCGCGTGGCAAATGTGCACGCCCAAACTAGGTAATCAGAAGGAATGGAACCCCAGTAATTAAATGTATAAACCATGTATTTAACATATATTGCATCATTTTATGCATTTTTCAGAAAAAGTGGTAGTTTGCTAAACAGTGACATCAACGACATGTTTGGTCTGTAAAATGTCCAAAAGTCAAAGAATGGGAGATAAATATCCCAAAGTCTCCACATTTTATTATATTTTGTGTGCCTTCTGGTCCTCTTTCAGTTGAGACAGTGTATGAAGGATGTGTAAGGATGTAGGAAAGCCAGAACTCTTGTGTGAACATTGGATAAAGCCAGGTTCATATTCTTGTTTCATGTTGTTGGCATAATGGTCAAAGGTTTTCACAGAGATATATCTTTGTGTTGCGCCATAAATCAGAAAATACTGCATTCAAAAAGTCATTTCCTGCATTTTTTTGCAGTGTGATATAAATAATGTACAAGCTTTCAGATTGCTGTAGTTCACTAAATAGAGACATTAACGACATGTTTGGTGTTGAAAAAGGGAAAGAATGGGAGATGCATATCCCAAAATCTCAAAATTGTATTATATTTTGTGTGTGTTTGTGGTCCTCTTTCAGTTGAGACACTAGGATGCTTCTGGAAAAGACCGAACACTGGATGTCTTTCAGTCACCAACATGTGTTTTCGAGACACTGATATTAACGGGGAAACCCTGCAGGACTCAAATATCTCGTCTCTGTTCCCCTAAACTCATTTGGGAGTGATGACTGATTATTATCAGTCCCGGGGGACAGCGGCAGGCTGGCTTGACTGTGTTTTCCGAAGTGGAGGCTGGCTTGACTGCAGTCCCGGGGGTAACGCTGCCCTTCCTCTGCACGTTGTTTCTCTTTCAGAAACACAGAGGACTGTTTGTATGATGGGATCACAAACACGCTGCAATCAATTTCCTCTAAAAGTCGAGTCCAGTGTCTATGGAGTGTCATTTTGATTTTTTATAATTTGGGAAGAACGAAATTCGGTAGGAAAAGCCAGCTAAATCGGTAGGCGGTAGAAACATGTCAAAAGCGGTAGGGTTGGCAGGTATGATAATACACCTTTAAGCCCGGATGCCCTGAGGGAGGCATGCTGATTACTGCTATTGCTATTACTTCATGCTATCTGCACAAATGGTTAACATTGAACATTAAAAAGATCAGGCAGTTCAGGGAGAATCGAAGGATGGCAGGCAGGCAGCTTTGCATGACATTCTTCTGGACGTGTTTCATTATAGTGAGGGTAGTCAATCCCTTGTTTGGCAAGACAGTAGTGACGGCCATCTTGGTGACGTGTGTTGTTGTGCGAGACCAGAGATGTAGTTCATTGAGCGGTTTCACACAAAAAAAGTCTTACCTCACAGTTTTACGGCAAAACTTTTAAATTGACAAACATCATATTTGTAATTCGTTGCACAATTCAAACGGGATCGAAAGATAACGTTTCTCTCGCCATTGACTTCAATACATAATTTTTCCGAAATAAGGTCCCATGGAGGTCCACCGGAAAGGGAGGGACTTCGCCTCTCTATAGTATGTGTATTCACTCTGTCCTAAACGGCTTGTTGGAGCTCCTGCCCCCCCCCTCCCTATGAGCCCACTGTGCTCTGATTGGTCAGCTCGCCCACTCTGTTCTGATGAGATCCCCACCGTTACAGCGGAACATCAGTGATTATGTGTTACAATGGCGTTAGCAACCAGAAAATGACACCAGTAATGACAAACAAATGAAATAAAAAATAAGTAATCCTTCTCAAAAAAGATAAACGCCATTCTTAAAATGTATAAACGAACAATAGTTTGATTAATATTGATTAGAGTGCACAAAATAAATAAAATAATTGAGAGAAGAAAAAGAGATATGTTATCTATCAAAACCCAGTTAGATTAACATTCATTGGATTGCACACTTTGTTTGTTTGTTTGGATATGTAGCACATTAACATTTTAATAGCACTTAATGACTGACTGAATGGAAATGACAATAAATGAAAATGTAAAACAAAAAAAGCGATCATGAAAATGTTTCCAATAAATGAATACAATTATTTTTGACCACTTTGTTGTTCAGATATATTACATATTTGTAACTAAATGAAACATGAATTGAAACAAAACACGGTATAAACTGAGGAGTGAGTCCCGTGAGTTTCATGTGTTTTCTTCACTCCGCTGGGAAACTGCTCTCATGTCAAGAATCAACAGATCAGTGCATGCGCTGCATCGTCCAATCAGTGAGCGATACACAGTAATGGGGCGGGGCGAGTGTCTGAGGATTTAACCGGAGGATGGTTTGGTAGTTCCTCGATTATCGCTCCTCCATTATCGCTCCTCGATCCTCCGGCAAAAATAAGGCCACTGGGACGGTACTCAAGATGGCGCAGACAAATCAACTTCTGGTGATACCGAGCCTGAGGAGCGAGGAAATGAAAAATAACCGAAGTGAGACGCACCCATATAGGTATTTTCTGTGTTAGAGTTTTACTCGCTACAAGGTGTACTTTGAGGGTTTGTGACTCTGCAGACCGTTTACATGCATAAAAACCTTCATAACACACAAGGGGACGGGTAATAACCGGAAAAGCATGACATGGGACCTTTAAGATACAACAATAGACCTTTTAAGAGGAGAATTACTGAACATAGTTGTTTTATGCCAAGGTAGATTAAGGAGTATGAAGTCTATGAAAGTGTTCATATTGAACGTATGCTCACCATCCACATAAAGCTGCAAGCATTCTCAGCTCTGACCTTGAATAGGTGGGTGAGGGTATTATTTAAGGATATACATTTATATACGACCCACAGATTTATTATTAACATTTGAACGATTACATTGGAACACATACACACACTGCTCCCCCCCACGGGGGGATTTGAAATATCCGAAGGGACACATTTCCAATGATTACTTTCAGCTGTGACTTTTGCTCAATCATCTGGGTCATCTGCTTTCAGAAAAGACATTATAGACGAGTTGCCATATGTGCCTATATGTATGCCTTTACCTTACTAGCAGAACAAGTACTAAAAAGAGAGAGCGATTGACTGTGTGTCAAAAGAGTGAGACTTTGGTTTTGTGCAGCCTTCCTCTCTTCAGGGCAGACATTAATGTTTTTACTTTTCAGCTTTGCACTTTGAGCTGAAATTCTGAAGCTTGCAAAATTCTCCTTGGAAGCTAGAATATTAGCAACATATTTTCTAAAAAGGTTATAAGCACACTTTGAAAACACTCCTGAAGTTTATTTTTGATAATCAATCTACAATGTTTATTCTTTTAATAATAATAATATATATAATACATTTTATTTGTAGGCGCCTTTCATGACACCCAAGGACACCGTACAATTTGTTAAAATAATTAATTAATTAATTAATTTAAAAAAAAAAACGCTAATAGGCAACAGAACATGATAAAAACACAAAGAGTAAATCATGGCGGACACAGTCAAGTGGACACAAATGAAACATATAATGGGGAGCACTACAGTGAGTAAGCAGATTTGAACAGGTGGGTTTTTAATTGGGATTTGAATATGGTGATTGTGTCTGACTGTCGGATGTGCGGGGGGAGGGAGTTCCAGAGTCTGGGAGCAGTGCAGCTAAAAGCCCGAGCACCCATGGTGACGAGGCGTGGGGTTTTGTTTATGTTCATTGTGGATGAATGACTTTTAGGCAGAAATTAAGATTGGTAACGTATTGTTAATAAAAACGTTGAAGTTATAATATGTTTAATCAGGATAGTGACATTAAAAAAAATCCTGTCCAACCATTAGCAGCAAAAACCTTATTTTAGAAATGTGAAATGTATGATTAAAATAGTTGCTTTTACATTTCTGAGGATTCTCTGCTGCTGCCCACTTGGTGGACAACACAGTAATGTGTTTGCACTAGTGCTTTTAAGATAATAACATTTAACACATCAAATGCATGTAAAAGTGTTGGGAGGAAATAAACACAAATTACACAAATGAACCTGCTACAAAACTAACTTGTACAAATGTAATCTATGGTTTTGAGTTTAGAAACAGTTAAGAAACAGTAGTGTAACTTCTTTCTCTGTGAAACTGTTCATAAGAACTACACTTGGTTACATAAAACCATCTTTAACAATTTGACATAGCCAGGTTTGTTCTTCTTTGGATATGCTAAGCAATTACTTTGACTTGCTGATGACCAGGCCATTTATTACACTGTTAAATATATGGACTGGCCTGTCTTCACTTGTACAAAATACATCTTAATATCTTTTTTCCTCTTCTTCTGTATTTTTGTTTCTGTCCTCAGGACGAGAAGAACCAAGTGCTGGTGACCAACGCCTGGCTGCAGCTGGTAAGTCGTAGCTTTAGAACGGCACATTATCATCATTATAATGTTTTTAAATTATAATGCTGATTTTATTACAGAATTCTCTTCTCAATACGCTGTGACTGTGTTTCCTCAAATGACCAGTCCCACTACATTAATTGCTTGTTGATATATTGAACTGTCACCATGTGCGTCTAGTGAAACTGGAACTCAGCCACCAGTTGTTGCCGTGTGTGTGTGTGTGTGTGTGCGTGTGTGTGTGTGTGTGTGTGTGTGTGTGTGTGTGTGTGTGTGTGTGTGTGTGTGTGTGTGTGTGTGTGTGTGTGTGTGTGTGTGTGTGTGTGTGTGTGTGTGTGTGTGTGTGTGTGTGTGTGTGTGTGTGTGTGTGTGTGTGTGTGTGTGTGTGTGTGTGTGTCGTGTCAGAGTGTCAGAATGTCAGAAAGAGACACTCCCTTTTGTGTGGCCATGTTCAATGCTGGCATCAGCATACTCCAGAAGACATCGCTTTAGGCACATTTTTAAGCAGAAAGTGAGACGAGCGGTGGAGGAAGAAAGAGTGCAGAATATTTAACTGGCAGTCTACTTGATAGTTAATGGACTTAATGCCAACAAACAAATTCAGTTTCATAGCCTCCAGCAAAATTAGTCTGTGTTGCAGTTTTAAGTTTTAAGCTGTCAGTTATGCCTGTATCCTTAACAAGTCTTAAAAACAATTGAATTCAATAATATAAATATATATTTGAGCTAGCAACAGCATGAGTATATATATTTAACAGTTGCTAACTGTAAGTGTTTTTAATTTGGTAATTGTAAAGTTACTTTTAAATTCAATTTAGAGCGGTCTTGAAACGTATGAAATTCCAATTGCCTTAAGCAGTTGAAACCCTAGCTTATAAACATGCTTACAGGAAAATACTTTTCTATTCATTACTTGATAATTTTTATACTGAATGTGCGACTTTCTTGTGAAAGATCAGTTGGATTATTTCAAATAGCCCTTAGAATGAGAGTTGCATCCCTTTAAACAATGTTTTAAGATCCATACAAAGTACTTTGTGAAACAGTCTCCTCTCTCTCTGTTTCTCCCTGTCTCTCTCTCTCAGTATTGGACAGACGTCTACCTGAGCTGGAATCCAGAAAAATACCCCGGAGTCCAGAACCTGCGCTTCCCTTCAGACCAGGTCTGGACCCCTGACATCCTCCTTTACAACAGGTCAGGGCTTTTCACCTGCTTATCACTACCTTCCTTATAGCAGACATTTTTATATTAGTAGTGTATCAAATGACGATGTGAAATCAGTGTTGTATTATTAAAGGGGTCAGACATAGTGATTTACTTTTACTTTAATCACTTTAATCTGCAGGTCACTTCGGCTTTACAAGGCTTTATCCTGAGTTTCTGCTCTTTGTTTAGCTTTCTAGCAGCAACATTAATATTTTGGATCCACTCTCATAGTGCCTTTTCAGCTGCAGCCGGCAGCTGTGTCAAGCGAAAAAGCTTTAAAACACACTACGCACTACTTGTTTACTGGAGCATTTGTCTCATGTGAAAATGTTGGTGTTGTGACCCATCGTTGTGAGTCCAGCAGATTAACACCTTTGTTACTATTTTTATTTTTGATTGAGTGCATTGAAGTAGTTGAAATATCAGTCTAATCCTTATTACTTTCATAAATTCTGTCTTTAATCTCTCCACAAACCAAAGCACTGTCAGGGTTACTTAAAGGTGGGGTAGGTAAGTTTCAGAAACCGGCTCGAGTGCACTAAAATTTGAAAGTACACAGCCGAAAATAATCCGCCCCTTCCTTCAGACTTCCTTACAGAGCACCTCCTCCAACACACATGAACGCGCACATGACGTCAGCAGACTGGTGAAAGTGGCTGCCTGTTGCTGGCGAGTCATTGAAGTACTGCTACAATGCACGCCCAATGACGGCACGCCCAATGAGGGCACAAGATACATTTGTGCGTGCACGAGATGGAAGGCTGACAGACAGGGCGGCAATCCAATCCGTTTAGCCGGCCCGGCTAAACGGATTGGACGGACATTTTTTAATGGATTTTTTGTCAAAGCATATTCATTGCTATCGGGATGTTAAGAGCATTCCATGGAATATAACAAAAAGTGTATCTCGAGCCGGTTTCTGAAACTTACCTAAACCGTAGTTCCACTACATTCAATAGAAATGTGCTGGCTGTCTTTTAAGAAACCATAACCATGACAAAATAAAAACATTTGTGATATCACACTTTAAAAAAGAAAAAGTTTTTTAAAAAAGAGTCATAGGTTTAAGGCAAAGTCAATATTGAACTAAATGAGATTGAGCAAGCTCATTGCATATTTCGATTCAGGTCAGGCTGTATCCACTGCATGATTCTCAAGTCAATTAGAAAAGTAGGCCAGTTGTTTTCATCCAAAACAACTAATTGCATTGCGTTTGCGTGCTTCAATGAGAGATGGATGATCTGGTTTGAGACTGGGGGGGGAGAAACAAGAAGAATAAATCACAAAAATGAAGACAAAGACACGGTTGTAATGTGTGACGCAGCTTGTAAAACAGAACATTTCAAAGACTGATGTTAAGAGAGACAGACAGCTATCTCATTGACATTCAATTATGTTTCTGAGGTGATCAATGGACAAAAATGTCCACATTCCCCCCCAAAACACACGCACACACACACACACACACACACACACACACACACACACACACACACACAGGCATTTTACAGGGAATACAAGGACAAAACAGAGGTTTGGGGGTATTAACCTACATTTTAAAAGCTCATCTTTCAGACCTGCCAGGATTACCCATTCTAATCTCCCTTCTCCCCCAGATTTGTTCTTCCACTGCCTCTTCTCCTCCCTTTCTACATCCACCATCCATGCCATCTTACAAACTAGCATCTAGCCATCTTCTCATCTATTTCTGTCTCCCTCCGTCTCTCTTTCATAACTCACTGTCTCACTATAATTCACTCGATTCAATCAACTTTTTCCCTCCATATTTGTTATCGTTCCACAGCCTTCACCAACCTGTCGCTGCCCGCCCAGGTGTCAGCATGTTACTCTCCCCCTCTACTCACAGGCAACCTTTGTTTCTTGCTAGATGCTCCCCTGTCTTCTCTTGAGCTGAATTTGACTTTGCTACCCGCTGAAATCTCTTCACGTATAAAAATGCCTCCCTGGTTTTTGGAGAAACTTCCTGAAGTTTTGACTTGTTTGCTTTGCCTAGCATGAACCTGAGGAAAAATACATTCTTCCTATTTTATTTTCACTTGTTATCTTTGGTCTAATTCAGGAAATGTATACAGCACAGAAGTCATAAGGAGTAGTTCACAGGGTTTTCTATTGAATGACGGGTAAGCCAAGGCTGATTTGACTCCTCAACTTTAAGAGGGTAGCCCTACATTTAAGCATATTAATGTTTGCTATTTAGCACTCAATTACACGTTGAGCTCATGAAAATATCATTAGTTTTACTGGTGTTGGACAAAGTAAAGTTCCGGTTTGATGATGGCACTAGCCTAGTTAGAAGATTACCAAAGTTATTACAGATCATCCTGAGGAAGAACATGAATATCTAAATACATTTGAAGGCAATCTTTAAAAAAAAGATTGATCAGTGTTTTGATTTTTACCATATAATAAAGTGGTGGACCAACTCACAGTTTTTTGTTAGCTTTGCAAAATAGCTGTGTATGTATGTAATTTTTTTTATGTTATTATCGTAACTTGTTCATACATGTGTGCCTCAGATTGGTGCTGATGTTGCTGGTTTTCAGCTTAAGACTTATCTCATTGAATTCTGAGAAGATGCAAACTAGAGTGAAGCTGAAGACTCAGTTTACCCCCTGAGGAGAAATGTAAAATGTTCAGCAATAATATTGATTGTTGCTAGAAACACACACAAACCGATACAATGCTGCACATCTCTAAGCTCTCAAGCCACTAATACATATGCACACAAACAAACACACACTCTTCACCAGCCCATCACACACAATCACATACATGCTGTTACACAATTACAGTCATTAATGGCACAAAACACACCATTACACTGTGGCCCATCAGTGCGCAGCCAATAAAACACTAGTCTTACTGTTTAGAATAGCAGATGCATTCAGGCTTATTAGCCCCTGCTCAGATGAGAGCCCTCCATGAATCCATTAATGTATTGTTATTGTTTTAATATGAAGTTAATGATGTCTAATAGTGCCGAGGTCTGATGCCATCTCAAAATGATATGAATTCAAGAAAGATAAAAATATCTCGGAATAGAAAATCTGAAATTGTCTGGATATGAGTCACTCAGCTCATATTATCCCAGTGTGAACTCTTTTATATCTCTCTCTTATTGCTTTTCACTTTGTAGATCATTGTGCTCACACTGCTTCACAATGATGTTTCACGCATGGATAATCTTTACTGTGAGTCATGGATTTACAATCACAAACATATCCATGCATATTGCCGGAGGAAAATATTTTCTTATCCCCATAATTGGAAATGTTTTGTAATGGGATTGACAGCTGACGTCTTTCATTTCAGATCACAGAGTTAAGATTACCCTAAATCCATTGGCTCAGAATAATTAGGAATTCCTTTAACACCTATAGAGGTTTTTTTTATTCAGCCTATTTTCAACCTGCTGGTTAGAAATTGAAGATATTGGTTTATTTGGCATAGAGGGATGGAATATTTTATTATAAATAGGAAGTTTATGACAACAGGACACAGGCATGTGTCCTCCACTGAGACAGTGATTCATGTTTACATTAGGCTCTTCCACTTTCCTGATGAGAACCATCCGTATATTTCATGTTGACTCCGTCTCGTCTGCTATGTGTGGCAGGCGAGCATAAATTGCAGAGCGTGTGTGTGATTGTATTTGTATAAAGAATATTCTGATCTTAAACGGCTTTGTACGCCAGTGACCTCCTCTCTCATTGGAGGGAAAAGTCAATGGTCTCAGTTGACTGGGGATCGATGAGGCACATGAAGGACATCCAACTCAGGTAAACCACAGACAGAATCCTAATTCTTCCAGCGGAGACGGTAGAGGTACAGACAGAGCGTTGTGACAGGCTATACACGTGAAAAGGGATTTCTTAGTTGTTGTTTCTTCACAAGGGTGGATGGTTAAATCAATGGACATATGGACAGTTTTGATTACCTTTTTAGCAATCACTTAAATTAATAAATCCTCAAGGAATGAAACGCAATATGCACTGTGTTAAGGTGCATGTCTTTAAAGTGTATAAGTGCAGATTGAGCGCATGAGGTGTAAGTAATGTCCTATTGATATTATTCTTACTTGAGGAGGTGAACATCCAGAAGCTAAACACACAATGGATTACATAATGCCTTCTAAAAGCATTACTGAAATTCTGCTCATCAATAATGAAGATCTCATGATAAACAGGAATGTTCATGTTTAACCAATAAAGCCCATGCTCAGTTTGTTTTAATCACATAAGAGTAACTTAAATGCTTGAGTTTTCACCCAAAAAAAGTACGATTAAAACCAAAATATCACATATCGTTATCCGTGGATAATGATCCAAAGTCTTTAAGTTACTTCTTAAAGATGAAAATGTAGATGTTTATAAGTAGTCCATTCATCATGGGTAAATATGTGCTCTGCCTCTATAGGAATATACATCTTACTGTAAATTGGAATATACTGTACTCCTCTCTGCAGCTTCCTTGACCATCTAGTTAACCACAGAGCCTCGTGGCTGTCAAACAGAAAGCCTTTCCCCTGAGGCTGTTTAGTTGAGATATGACATAAGGCACATGGATGGTGAGGTCTTTACTTAAAGAGGACCTATCATGCAAAATGCACTTTTGTACGTCTTTTATACATGAATATGTGTCCCCGGTGTGTCAGGGAACTCATCAAGTGTCACAACACAACCCTCTCTCTTTTCCACCATACCCAAATCTCTAAAAACGGGGCTGCAACGGATCTACAGAACGGGGCTACAGAACCGGGCTACAGACTGATCCAGATTTGAAATATCTCTGACGTCAGAAACGAGGAGCTCCGCCTATATGGGCAACTCTCCACCTATCAGGAGGAGACAGCCACGGCCATTGCCGTTCGAAAGCGCTGGAGACGCTGTAGTACATATGCCAGGCATGTAGGTGGCGCTGTAGTCTACCACAAAAGCAGCGAAGAAGACTTCTTACAGATTCAGCCCTTGCAAAACAAGGCTGGAATAGAGCGAAATGAGGCATGGCTAAAATGCATGATCTGTTTGGTATTTTGAAAAAATGTTGCAGACATGTTTTATAGGTATGGCCCTACAATATATTATTCAAATATAGCATGATAGGTCCACTTTAATGCAGCCTGAGTAGTGCTGACTGTGTGTAGCTTTCAACTGTGCATGGATAAAATCTTTACAGAATGTGTTAACATATGAAGCAATACACATTCTTTAGCCCCCTTTTATTCATACTTTTCTGATTTGAAACAGTTACAAATACAAATTTGCAAACTAATTAAGTAAAGGACAAAGCAACTGTCAACAAAAAGTCAAATCATGAATTTGGATCAGGGCAACATTTTTGTCTTTGGGGCTTCCTGTCTGAGGACAGCAGCAGGTGATGAGTAAGTGGGAAGAAAGCTTTGGTGACTCATGTCCCATGGTGCAGTACCTGTCACCATTGTTATTGTCGGTCAGTCTCTGTTTCCACCTTCCCCCACTCTCACATGTCCACCGTACTTTCTCTGGTGTGTGTATGTCTGTGTGTATAGCCTGTACAAACAGGAGCATGTCCCTTTCTCTCAGGGCTATCACTTGCCTGGTTGTATGAAAGTGTCATGGTTAAAATGTTTACATCGCAGAAGGTATTTTGTTTTAATATCTTAAAATATTTTGTCTCAACAGAAACAACATTTTTTTGTTTCTAAGTAGATGCAAGACGAAAGTCTTTCTCTGGTCTGCATCCCCTTAACAATTGTATGTTTTGAGCTGTACTGTACTGTACCCAATATACAAGCTGTTAATAAACTTTTCAATCAATCAATCAATCATGCAAACATTGCTTTTTCAATAATGTGTTTTTGTTTGCTTGATCTAATTGGTCCTTTTAAGATAACTTTAAGATATCAGTCTGTAAATCTCTCCTTTTCCTCACATACATAACTTGTACAATATGTACTTTCTGGTGCACACACACACACACACACACACACACACACACACACACACACAGAACAAGATGTGGTGTGCTGTGCTGTGATGTATGCACACCTTTAGATAAAGTAAGCCCAAAGCTTGAATAATTCATCACTCAGCTCCGCCTTTGCCTTGCCCAGCACTCAGAGCCACAGCTGATTGCAAAACACACAGAGAAAATAAATAAATCACCACACTTAACCCCCCGTAAAAGGTAGACTACTCAATCTTCAGCAAAAGGCAATGACAACTAAAACGGGTCCTTCGACAAATTCTGTTAAGGTGCATGCAGCGCTCTTTTGTCAGGGCTGAATGAGGCTCCAGGATGCTTCAGACACACTGGCGTTATCTCTCTCGCTGGGGATTGCATTGTGTGTGTTGATTTGTGTGTGCATGTATAGCTGTATTGTGTGTGCCTTTTATGCTGTATATGTATGTAGAGAGTTCAGTGCGAGTCTGAGTTATAGATTGGTGTGAATTGTAATGTACAATAGGCTTTTATATTTTGTGTGACCTAAGATGACAAACACAGGACTTTACTTGTGTGTGTGTGTGTGTGTGTGTGTGTGTGTGTGTGTGTGTGTGTGTGTGTGTGTGTGTGTGTGTGTGTGTGTGTGTGTGTGTGTGTGTGTGTGTGTGTGTGTGTGTGTGTGTGTGTGTGTGTGTGTGTGTGTGTGTGTGTGTGTGTGTGTCCTAGCATTACTATACTTGTGGGGACCTAAATCTGTTTACACAGTCACGTGTGGGGACTCACTTCCCTTATGGGGACAAATTGGAGGTCCCCATGAGGGGAATCATTCATTTTAGGGTGAAGACTTGGTTAGGATTAGGGTTAGGGTTAGGCATATGTTGGTTATGGTTAAGGTTGGGATAAGTCTCCAGGAAATGCATGTAAGTCAATGTAATGTCCCCTGGAGTGGTGTGTGTGTGTGTGTGTGTGTGTGTGTGTGTGTGTGTGTGTGTGTGTGTGTGTGTGTGTGTGTGTGTGTGTGTGTGTGTGTGTGTGTGTGTGTGTGTGTGTGTGTGTGTGTGTGTGTGTGTGTGTGTGTGTGTGTGTGTGTGTGTGTGTGTGTGTGTGTGTGTGTGTGTGTGTGTGTGTGTGTGTGTACTACTTTACAATAATATATATTTGTTTTAATGCTGAAAACGGACTTTAGGCATGACAGAAGGAGATTGTGGGATTTGTGTTGCTACAGTATTAGTTGTTACCTTTTTCCCATTATGCACTGTTAGTGTGGGTCGGCCACTTACTCTTCTGCTATGAATGCATTTTATCGACATTCGTAAGTGCTTAAAGCTGTTGGTTTCAATGTAAACACACTAAGACACTCAACATGTTTCCTAAATGTTGCATGATTGTGTATGTTATGCAACTGTAAATAGGCATGTCATGTAAATACAAATGTCTAAAATATTGAACTAAATGTTTGATTTCCTGTAAGAGTTAAAAGGATAATCAAAAACTATGACAAATCATATTTCTTAAATGTTACTTTTATAGATTTTTTTCAAGCTTTATACAAATGTTCTGTTTAGCTGCCTGCATCTTTAAAAAAAAAAGTAGCAATGAGGAGGAGGGGAGAGAAGAGAAGCTTCCTTCCAGCGAGTTGCTAGACTTAGCGACTGGCTAAGTTCAGACCCTGCCTCTGGCACTTTTTTTTAACAGTTCACATTTTCCGTGACATCAGAAGAGCTACTCTTTCATACTTAATTAGGGTTCAACTGGAGTGCCAGTGCTAATAACATATTCTTTGTTCAATGGTTTATTTGACTTTAAGTTCTGTTGTCAAACTTTAAATATTGAAAACACACTTACACAAAACGTGTACATGCCTGTTAATATATCTTTCAAACAGGTTGCAGGTATAGCTTATATATATATATATATATATATATATATCAGGTGTATCTCAAACAGGTATATCTTTCAAACAATATATCTTTCAAACAGGTTGCGAGTGGCAGAGGATGCATCTGTGATGTTTTCTCATGTCACTGATTTGGTTCCTGTAACTCCATATTTTGCATAGTAGTGGAGGTGATTATCTGATTTCACTGCACCCTGGATTTAACCTGGGTTTTAACTGTGTGCATATAAGGGGTGACAGACTGTTGCAGCACGCTGGTCGCTCCACAGATGGCCGGTACAAATCACTTCCCTGCACGCCCCTGTGGCAGGTTAGGCTGAACATTGTAAAGATTGGCACACTTTAACCGGTATACAACCACAAAAACAAATGACATTAGGTGCCTAAAGAGCGAGATATTTACCTCGGGACTTGCTAGAGAAGAAAGAGAGCTAAATGAGAGCAGTGTAGGACTTGCATTCATCAGGTACCCAGAAAGTCACCTCCAAATGAATGATAATGTTGTCTGTAATTACTGGAATAGGCAACTGTTTGCCTACAAATATACCGAGCTGTTGCTGTTCTTCTGATAAATGTTATATCCCACCAACTAATACTTTTCATATTCCTTAATCTGTCTTTTCAATATGTGCAGACTCTTTTTTTAATAACAATTCCTTGCCTCTCTAAAATAGTACAAATTAACAAACCAATTTAGAAGCTTTTGGCCTGCGTGTAGTACCTGAGAGCATTATGTCGAAAACAATTAAAAAGGCGATAAAGAGATTTCAGTTAGATGGAGTTTTAGCTAACAGCAAGATGATGAAAAATGTTCAAGGTGCACACACACATTACTCTTATCTATTCTCTCCCTAGTGCCGATGAGCGATTTGATGCCACCTTCCATACCAACGTACTGGTGAATGCGTCAGGCTACTGCCAGTACATCCCCCCTGGCATCCTTAAGAGCACCTGCTACATCGATGTGCGTTGGTTCCCCTTCGACGTCCAAAAGTGTGACCTCAAGTTTGGCTCCTGGACACACAATGGCTGGCTGCTGGACCTCCAGATGCTGGATGTGGACACATCCACATACATACCCAACGGGGAGTGGGACCTTGTGGGTAAGAGAGATGCACTGTTTTGGTTGCCATCAGGATAGATGACTGTACCATGGATCCTGGTAACTGTACTTGAATCCAGTCCCCCCTGCCTGAAATGCCTCAATTAGAATTATTGTTTATTTCTTTAACATAGTCAAATCAAATCAAATCAAATTGTATTTGTAGAGCACATTTAAAAACGATTTTGGTCGAGCCAAAGTGCTGTACATGTCATTTAAACACATAAAAACACATTACATCACAATAAAAGACAATAAATCACAACAGTTAAAAAACAATACATGGAACAGTCAGGAGTCGTGACCCCACTCAAACTAGAAGGCCAGTTAAAGTGACATAACTGTAACACTCGCTCTTCTATTGGCTATGCTAAGGGTTATATGCTAAGGCGAGACATTTCCTCTTACATCTCTATTGGTTGATCAATCACAACAGAGCCCACCAGCTAACCAATCACATCAGACTTGGCTATCATTTCAGACAGAGGGTGAGTATGAGAAAACTAAAGACCTTTTTCAAACATTAATGTTACAGTAGAGACACAAACTAGAAAATATTAACCTGAACATTAGCATAATATGTCTCTTTAACAAAGTTGAAATATTCTAACCGAAATGACTAAGACAATGCTGTAAACGCTATTGAGGAAATTGTTATGTGCTCCCCCTTATTCACCGGGGTCACGGCTTGCTGACTTCCTCTGTCCGAGGTCTGTTATTTAAAAAGAATTCTGGAGAGACATCAATTGGATGAGTTGTAGCTTAATGAACTGGAAAGGGTCGAGTTTTTGGAAGACCTACCGAGCAGGACGTTTCCAGCTGGGACCGAGCAGCAGCAGATCCCAGTGCCTGTGCCCCCGGGGTGAGGGTTAGCTGAAAATTGGTGTCAGACAGCACCAGGTGGCATGCAATAGGAATGTTTGACATGTTGGCAGGTGTGTAGCCGTTCCATATGTGAGAGCAACACAGTTAAAGTTCAAGGTGAGATAGTTAAACCATTTGGTGGCTTGCTAAACATTTGAATTCAAATACAAACATAGGATAAATGCAGAGCAAAGTTCCAAGCCTGTCACTTAGTTGCTCATCATTGCCACTCGTCATTCGTTGTATTTCCTTCTATGTTGTTTACATGAATGATATAGGCTATTTACATATTCAATCACTTTATTAGTTCACAAATAACTTGCTTATATGCGTTTACTCCTCCCTTAGGTGTTCCAGCCAAGCGCAATGAGCTGTACTATGAATGCTGTAAGGAGCCCTACCCTGATGTGACATTCACAGTCACTATGCGCCGCAGGACGTTGTATTATGGACTTAACTTGCTCATCCCATGTGTGCTGCTCTCTGGCTTGGCCATGCTGGTCTTCCTGCTACCTGCAGACTCTGGAGAAAAGATTTCTCTGGGTGAGAGGGGCTTAAGCACACTTGTTGTTTACATGAAAATACCTTGCTTTGCAAAACAGTTAAACAATGTGTCATTGATCTATGTGAGCAAGATAGAAAGATGTGTGTTCAGTATTTTAGTACTCTGCATTTCTTATTTAAATAATAGTAAAGCAATATAGTTTTCAATCCCCAAGTGTGTTTGAAAGTGTTCAAGCATATACAAATGCAGTCACAGCTGTACACCAATACATACATCTATTAAGGCACATCAGCATATGTGTGCTTGCATCTTCATGAATCACATAGCGAAACATGAATACATACATGTCAAACAACCATGGAATAACTTTAAAATAAGCCTTAAATCCATTTTGATGAATACCCCATCGAAAGGAGCAACAGCCTGTTACAAAGTTTGAGGGATTTCTGGAGCTGTAACTCACCTTGGACACGTCAGAGCAGTCGGCAGTTGATAAATGGTTGTAGTCATGAGACCATAATTGATTACATGTATACGTTATACACAATTTCATACACCAGTGATCCTGATCACATCATTATGCTCATGTTCTCTTTTTCTCTCCGTCTTAAGGCATCACTGTGCTCCTTTCGCTAACTGTCTTCATGCTTCTGGTAGCAGAGATCATGCCTGCAACGTCCGACTCTGTTCCTCTCATCGGTGGGTTATATTTATGTGTATATTTACGTGTCTACATCATGGTCTACATGTAATATACTTAAGCGTGCATGAATGCATTATCACCCAGAATAAGTGACAAACTTCAGAAGGAAGTAATAATTTCCATTCCTTACATTTTTTCTAACAGATGCATTATACCTCACCAAAGATATCCCTGGTGTTTGTTTACCTGTATACATGGTTCACAGAGCCCTTGGGGGGGGTGTGGAGTAAGAACTAAAGCTGTCACTAATATACTAGGGGATAGCTGGATAGAGGAAGACATATGGACCGTCTAGACTCTAGAGGGAGATGAGGCAGACATCTATATTTTTTGTCGTGTGTGTATGAGAGAATGTGTGTTAACATGCTTTGATTTATAACTGCAGTGCTGTATGTACGTGTCATATCAGTTTCACCCGGTCAATTTAAAATATATTGTACATATCAACTGTACATGATGTGAGTGTATTGATGAGATTAATGTTTGTCCATACTGGACAGGGTCACCACTACATCAATGCGCTGATAAGTGCCCTGGCTCAGAAAAGGCTTGATAAATGCTTCATCGATTGAATAGTCTGTGCTCCTTATTTCCCTCGACCTCAACACAAGGCCAACTGGGACACTTTAAGCAGACATGTTGGAATTACTCATACCCCTTTACAACACAGTGGCTGAATCCGGATTTGAGTTATTGTAGCTGCTTGAGCTTGACCGTGAATATATAAAGCAAGTGTTCAACACTGCTGCTTATATCAGGCCATATGTCTTTTATCATCAGTCTTTAATCACAAGATAAGGATATGAGTTCATTTCATTTTAGTTAATTTAGTCAGACATGTTTTATCTGTTTTAAGACTGTTTGGCTCAGTTCTTTTTTAATTCTGTTCAGTTTTTATTCATTTTTGACTTGTTTAGTTCAGCCACAATCACCAATGCCATTTGTAACTAAAGGTTATTTGTTGAATTATTGTAAATCATATATATATAGGCAGTCTTTTTCTGGCTCTTATTCCATAAAACAAAGCCATTTAGTCGCAGCAAATGTCCTTCCGCTTCTCATGAACACGTCCTTTAAAGCTCCCATGACATGGCCATTTCTACTGATCATAGTTCCATTGTTGAGGTCTACTAGAATAGATTTACATTGTTCAATGTTCCAAACTCACATTGGTTTCTCATACAGCATCTCTGTATAGTATGTGTATTCTCTCTGTCCTACACGCCTTGTTGGGGCTCCTGCCCCCCCCCCCCCCCCCCTGTGAGCCCACTGTGCTCTGATTGGTCAGCTCGCCCACTCTGTTCTGATGAGTCCACCACCGTTACATCGGAACATCAGTGATTATGTGTTACAACGGCGTTAGCAACCAGAAAATGACACCAGTAATGACAAACAGGTGAGAATGCTGAGAATGCTGCGTGGGGTCTGGGTGCCTTGTTGGCGGGACGTTGCGGGGCTTGCTGCTGTGAGGAGCGGACAGTGTGAGCTGGATTACTGGTGTCGTTACCTGGTTGCTGCGTGGGGTCTGCGAGACAGCGAGACACCGCGAAACTCAGCCTGAACTCAGTGTGTGTGTGTGTGTGTGTGTGTGTGTGTGTGTGTGTGTGTGTGTGTGTGTGTGTGTGTGTGTGTGTGTGTGTGTGTGTGTGTGTGTGTGTGTGTGTGTGTGTGTGTGTGTGTGTGTGTGTGTGTGTGTGTGTGTGTGTGTGTGTGTGTGTGTGTGTGTGTGTGTGTGTGTGTGTGTGTGTGTGTGTGTGTGTGTGTGTGTGTGTGTGTGTGTGTGGAGCTCCACGGATTGGAGTTAGAGTTTTACTCGCTACAGGGTGTACTTTTAGGGTTTGTGACTCTGCCCACCGCTTACATGCAGAAAAAGCTACATAAGTAACACACTAGGGGACGGGTAATAACCAGAAAAGCATGACATGGGACCTTTAATACTATGTTCTATAATGCTGTGTCTTCTTCAGTGTTTCTTCTCTTTCCCCATTATTTTATCATCTTCTTCTTCATTTGAACCTTTATGATCCTTAGTTTGCAGGCTTTGCAGTAGCTGTAGTCCTGTTTAGCCGTTAGCTCTTTTTAATTCACATTCACCAGCGTCTATGTGCGTGCGTGCGTGCATGTGTCCTCTTCAACTGGTGAAAAACATCCCTCCCGAACCAACATTAAGCTCTCTCTCTCTCCCTTCTCTAATTATATTTTTTTTGTTTTTTTGTTCAACCCTATTTTCTGTTTTGTCAAACTTTTTGACAAAGTGTGCATATTTTCCCCTTGGCACTATAACTTCTTGCACAAATTGATCAGACTTGCTTTCCTTTGATGTTGCAGTGTGAAATCACCTATTTTTGAAAATAATTAAAGGATAATGTTTTACCTGTTAGTAGATGTTCATTAAATGTGACCATGGTAGTGGGGCATGGACTTATTGGTATCTCTGAGCAAAATGTAAAGTATTTCGTTTTTTGTGTACACTTGTCAGCCCAGTACTTTGCCAGCACCATGATGATAGTGGGGATGTCTGTGGTGGTGACAGTTATAGTCCTCCAGTTCCACCATCATGATCCTCGAGGAGCCAAGATGCCCAAGTGGGTGAGTAGCCGTTTGAAACATTCAGCACAAAGGCTTATGTTTAGATGAGTGTGTTATCGTTTGGTTTTACGCCACTGACGCTCCCTCCCTCCTTTCAGGTTCGGGTGGTTCTGCTGAACTGGTGTGCCTGGTTTCTGCGTATGAAACAACCCGGCGATGAGCGTAAGCGGGCAGGTTACAAGCACAGTCCCACCTCCCAGCACCACTCCAGCACCAGCTCCATAGAGATGGGCACTTTACCAAACCTAAATATGCCCCTCTCAACGACATCTTGCCCACCTTGTCCCACCGGCACCTCCAACGGTTCAATGAGCCTCTACTTTGGCAATTACCACTCCATGGAGAGCCCACAATGCCCACCTTCCAGCGACTCTGGGGTAGCACTAGGGGGCCGTGCCCATGGCTCCCCTGGTGATGAGGCCGAGTCATCTGAAGGAGTTGGCAGTGGTGTTGGAGGCCTGGGGATGGGAGTTGGACCCGGGATGGGAGTCAGCATCCCCCCTCCAGAGATCCAGCGCATCTTAGATGAGGTGTCGTACATAGCCCAGCGCTTTCGGGAACAGGACAAGGCCGAGGTCATCTGTGGCGAGTGGAAGTTTGCAGCGGCGGTGGTGGACCGGCTGTGTCTGGTGGCTTTTTCTCTCTTCTCCATCATTTGCACCTTCACCATCCTCATGGCAGCACCCAATTTCATAGAGGCTGTTTCCAAGGACTTCACATAGAAGGTTGAAGCAGCAGTGGAGAGTGGGAAGGCAGCAAATATTAGGGTTGAAGAAAATATTAAGAAAGAAAGGGGAAGGATACAATGAAGGGTGCAGTTTGTGGTCCCATACCTACAGTCAAGGTACCCCATTGGAAAGGAGCTGGGGCCAGGCAGTGTTTTATGATAACATTTTTACTGAAGAAGCTCAAGAAAGTAAAATTGACAAAATCAGGAAACAAAATAGTCATGATTGATCAATAAATAATCACAGAGAGTAATCATAATGTTTTACTCGCACTTCTAAATGAAGAAGAGAAGCATAATGCATTGTCCCACACAGGTTGTTCATATGTATAGAATTAAATAGGTGTTGCATGCAGACTCAACAACAAACCTGGAGTGACTTGAGCTAAAAGGTTGGCAATCACCGGGGCGGTAGGGGAGGACACTGTATAGATTTTCGTTTTTGATATTTCAATGAGTGGAAGATAATGTTGCAATAATGTTGCACCCTGAAAACACTTAATACCATTATTTTATCTGCACTTATTTTAAACAACTTCTTAATTGACTGTACAGTGACTCATTCAGCACCCCAGTCCTCCTCACTGCCTCTTCTCTTGTTTATTTGTATCTTTGTCCTGTATGTACAAGATCATACACCAACTGTTCACCTTCAAAAGAGAATCAGACTTTTTCTTATGAAGTATCATCCCTGTAATAATATTAGGTTAGATATTAAAACGAGATGTTTCACTGTGAATTTAATTGTTATTACGTTCACTTTGACAACAGAAATCAACCTTATTGCTTTTACACAAGTGTAAAGGCATTTTCTTTATACATCAGAGTAGAACTGCATATTTAGGATAACTTTGTCTCGCCTGTTTAATTTAAGGCAATATAATATGTAACATGAGAACAGTTTGGAACAGTGATATGATACAATATTCAATACATTGTGTAAAAAAAGCACTGTGTGGACTGGTATGTACTGGTGTTGACCAGTAAGACAACAGTAAATCTTTTAGCAAAATGGTCTTTAACTACACAGACATCAATCATTTAACAATATAAAAGTGGTCAAGTAAAGTAGTATTACTGCTGAAAAAATACCCATATTCATGTATGTTGTTGGACTTCACTGTACAAAGTGTCAATGAAGATAAAGAGCAATGTGACCTTCGAACCACTGACAACAGAGACAATGGCTCTATAGGAGGAGAAAACTTCAGAACCACATCCACCACCATATCACTGGAGAATATACTGTAGATTTGTAAAAGGCCCTATAGTGTTTGTTCGTGTTTTGTAGAGGGAGCCGAGTGACTAATTCACACAAAGTTGTTAACGTGTTTGGTACCACCTCTTTGTTATAGGAACATTCATTGGTGTCTTTATCTCTTTTACTGTCATTACAAGTGTGAGTTTCTTTGCTCTCTATAATAATAAAAGTATATTTATTCTCTGTACATCAGGCTCTGGATAGTTCTGTGGGGACATATTCAGGAGAGTATTGCAGCATGTTGTGATGTGGCATTCATAGCATTATCTCGAACACGATAGGAGCTGAAACCTCCTCTTGGATTGCTAAAGCTGCTGGGTTGAATAAATCAACCACATTTACTTAGCTTTAGAAGCAGAAAACCAGCTAATACTTTCAAGTCTCCAAACTCCATCCACAAGTTTCAAGTGCAATCGGAGTGCATGCCGCTTTACTGCAAGCTGCCAAATTGTGAGACAGCAGATTGGCCAGATGGCTGAAGTGCAAAATGAATCAAGATAATGCAGAATAAAATGGGAATGAGCCATTTAACTGGTTGTGAAACAGTTGCATAATGGCATAAGAATGCTTTATATAAAGAGCCTCAGAAACAATGTCACCATCAGCGTCATCACTGATTATTAAGACTAATGAGACACTGGTGTTTTTGTCACAGACCGCACTAAATCTCAAGCTTTCATAACTGATAATTTACCATGCTGTCGATTAGACGGGATGTGCATATTTTGATAGGAGTTCAAAAACATTAAAAGTTCTGAGTCAAATATAATGTGATAATTCCCTCTAATTAACTTAATCTCTGGTTTTCTTAAATAGTAGAAGCAAGTCTATCATCTGGGGTTAAAATTGATTAGAAAGGAGATCAATGGGAATCTAAGAATGAAATACACCAAAAAAGCATGCAAGACAGAGAATGTAGGGCATGTTCTCCTTCTGTGTTCTAGGAAGTATGCTCTGATTTCTTATTTGTGTGGCCAACAAAGGCTGCCTCTCGACTTTGTTTGATGTTTTCTGAGTGAACTCCAATTCATGACGCAGAACCCACATTTGAGGTGGAACTGTTGGTACATTTACTCAATTAAGAGATATCCAGTTTTATTTGTATTGAGACAGCAGACTGCTGAGCTTACATTTTAATTAAAAAAAGTAAAACGTAAGTGCCTGCTTGCTAAGGGTGTGCGTGCCGGAAAGGCAAAAACATATCTGAGATACAATTACACTGAGCAAGTCATGAAGATTGAATTGTGGAATTTCTTCATCTTGGAAAATATTAAATGAGACTCAAAGATACCATAACAGTAGTCAGTCTGATCTAAGTGTGTTTGTGTGTAATAAGTAGAGTTATGCTTCCTGCACTGTCAGTAATCTATTCATTTATTAAAAGGGCCATGGAAATAAAAGTGAGGGAAACTGTCCATGACTGGGGAGTTTTAAGACAGCAGCTCATGGGCAGATATATGCATTCAGATTTGACTTAGGATATCAACCAACCAGTAGGCCAAACATAAGGGATATTACATAACTTGGGATACATACAATCCAAGGCTAGAGTATAGGTTAATGATTAAAAAAGGGGGATTTTGTAATGCCGTTAAGAGTGACCTTGTCCATATGTTCATATGCTCTAATCATTTGGAAACATAAATTCTCCCGGGTTGGAAACCTGCCTGTCCCTTACCAGACGACAGGGGGCAGCTGCAGTGTGTGTGTGTGTGTGTGTGTGTGTGTGTGTGTGTGTGTGTGTGTGTGTGTGTGTGTGTGTGTGTGTGTGTGTGTGTGTGTGTGTTTACCTGGTGTCAGAAGTCTCTCAGGGCATTATGGCTGGAAGAGGAAGCCTCTTATGTACTGTGTTAAAAGTGAATCCCTCTCTCTGATGTTTTTTTTTATGTGTGTTTTGTGTTAAGGATGAAGATAGATGAACTACATTGAATTTGGATGACTCAAGCGAATCTGAGCACAATAGTGTTTGTCACACACAAAATATCTGATCCAAATCTGTTTTCCTCTAGAGTTTGGGGAATTTATAACAGCTGTCACTCACCACATTATACTCAGTTGAATTAGAAACCTGTTTTCCCTGTGTAACTCATAATAATTACATCAGGGATCAGAGCACAACAGCAACACAGTAAACACAGAACTAAAACACAATTCACACATTCAGCCAGGTTGAGGTCCTGCAAGACCTGTGAATGTAGACAAATAATCAAAGTATCTGTTGGTATTTGTGTTTTACATGTCTTATATTATCTCTTATATTGTGAAATTTAGATTACAGTCTTGAGAACAGATGTACTGTATGTTCCCCAATCTCATCAACACTACTGATTTACATAGCAAACCCCCCCTGTGAGAAAGAACTGCTCAGCTGCCTGACTGTTGCATCTGAGATGACAGCAAGTGTTGTTGTAGTTTGCTGTTGATGTTTCATGTCAGGCCAGCGATGTAAACTCAATCATACAGAGCCTAAGTGTAAAAGCTTCAAAGTGCAAGACTGTGTGGCACACACACAAAAACACAAATATGCATTTACACCATCAACATAAACACGTTGACACACACTGTGCATGGCGGGGGCCTGAGCGACACCAGATTGCATGTTCACTGAGTGTCAAACGGTCAGACTGCTGAGCTCAGCATGCAGCTGATGTATACTTAGTGGGGAATCAAAAAGTTATGAACCAATATGGAGAGACTTTTTAATGTATTTTTCTAGGAATGCAGATTTAAATCTAATATGTGATGGTTAATAATGCCCCTATAGTAGGGGATATGTTGCAGGACATTTATTGAAATACAAACCATGAACAAGTCAAAAAAGGGAAGGAAAGTAATGAAAGTCATGAACAAGTTATTGGTTGAAGCTCAACCTTATTACCATCCGATATGGCAATGACCTCTGCCCGCTGAACTGCTGGACCAGCAGTATTAGTCATGAGAGCGAAGCGACTGGATTCCCCCCTCTGGAGACTTTACTTCCTCTCCTGCTGCCTCTTTCATTTTTCCAGTCCCAATCAATCCCACAATTCCCTAGGGTGTTAGAGTTGGGGAAACAACTCACGTTCACACATTGCCAAACTCCTAACAGTTCCTTGCTTATTAGTAAGATCAGTTTCTGCTCTAATTAAATTCTGCTTTCTTGCCGTTAATTTGTATGCTTTACTTTTAGTCACCTATGGCTGACAATGTCAGTCGTTGCATTTTTTAGGACTGTTGATCCCCCTCTTTGGTTTAGACTGATGTTGATCGGTGTGAATTTGTAATTGATTTTATATTTCTGAAGGATTGCCATGAATGATTGCCCCAAAAAGCAAGGTAATTATCATCCAGCCTCAGCAAAGGAGGTATTGAGGTAATGTTATTATAGAACAACAGAGTTAGCGTAGGGTGTTGGATGGATAGGTGAAAAAACATTTAATTTTACCCAGGAGACTTTATTATCGTTCCCAAACCCGTAATAAACACTTCTTCTTAATTAACCTCATCCAGCCTTAACCATAGTTTTTTCACAGAAGTGATTTGTAACAGTTATAGAAATGGCAGGCAAATGATCTAGTACTACTACCAGGGGCATTGGATCGGGAAATGCCTGTCTTTCTAAAGGGCCTTTCCGTTACAAACAACGTACTTTGTTGTTTTCATTTGTATCAACTTGTTGTGAAGTCATTGGTCTGATACTGTCCCGTCATGCTCTTCTCTCTTTTTTTAAATGTATTATTTTCTGTATTTCTGCGTCCATGTTGTGCTTTTTTGTTTCATTGATTCATTAAGGCAACATTTAATCAATGTTGTCGTGACACTTTCATTACTGTAATAAGCTGTGATTTATTTCATTGGGTTGGAGAAAGCGACAGCCTGAATGCTAATGTGACGCATCACCAAATGAGAGAGCAGCAGGGTTGGCTGGGCAGGGAGTCCTGTCATCCATCAGTCTCCTCTCACTTTCTCATGTTTGTCCTTACGGAGCGGAGCCTTACACACCTCTAGGGGCCGGAGGAAGTGTTTACTTGGCGCTGTCTGCAGGCTGGAACCAAAACATTAATTTTGTATGTGAGACAAGTAATTTCACAAGTAAAACAAAAGAAGAGGTGTCATTAATTAAATGAGTCAAATGATAATAATATTCATGGCACACACAAACAAATTAGTACAGCATTGGCAAAAACATATCATATAGTCTGCCAAGTCATGATATTGCCAAATTTCAAGGACAACCGCAGAGCAAGCAGACTTCTGAATATTACAATTCTTAGTAAAATAGTTAGTTTAAAATGTTGGCTATAAGGGTTGTGCAATAGGTCGCCATTGTCAGTATGTGCGTCTGCGTGTATTGTGTTTGTTCAAACGGTGTATGATTGATGATATGTGTATGTCTCTTAAATGTCCACTATGTTTGTATATTATGTACATGTATGCAGAACTGCTGGACGGAGCCCAGAACGAATTTCCTTACGGGGACAATAAAGTATATCGTATCGTATCGTATCGTATAGATTCACATAGATTCAAGCACAATCTGAATACGTTCTGAAGAGAGAGAAACAATAAAGCAGATAAAGCCTTTTAAACGTAAACTGGCAATGACAAAACCAAACACATCATAGTGATTCAACAATAGTTTATCTTTTATTGAAGCCATTAGTTTCAGAGCGCAGAGGACAGTCTCTAGGTCACACTTTTTGATGGCTGCCTTGACAGCTCTTTCATCGTAATATGTCATTTTCCTAAAAATAGAACAGAAACCTACAGCATCTGTATGGGTACAGACAGCCATAAATGCAAATAACCAAACAAGCATACAAATGTGTGTGCCCTAAATACCCAATAGAAAGCAAGCTAGGATGCACAAACAAACAAAAAACATCACAAGCATGAATCTCTCTCTTCCAGCAGCAAATATGATGCATGACCAATAATCCGCAAGCATAAAGTAATCTGAGCAAATGTCCATTTGGATTATCAGTCTGCACAGTGTAATCTGAAACACTTCTCTGGTTGATTGAGAGGTCATGAGAGAGCTTTGGTCATGTGGAGAAGCAGTGTCTAAGTACTGCTTTTTTTCAGCCTCAGCTGGATAATATTGGTTGCAGCAGTTTCCATAACTTGTTGCTATTTTTCCCGGTGCTAATTAGCTCATATAAGAATGCTAACGGGCTAAAAAATGGTGAACTTGGTCAAATACTTACT